TTCAACTCCCAGAATTCCCCAGCCAGCATGCTGGCTGGAGAATTCTGGGAGTTGAAGTCCATACATCTTAAAGTTGCCAAGGTTGAGAAAGACTGCTCTATAATATAAAATGCATACTTGATTAAACAGGCTCCTAGGATTGGACTATAAAGTAGAACAATCAGTAGTTGGTATCCTTCCATTTATGATCTTACCTTTTTAAGGGATTAATCTGTTAAAGTACTTTAATTGTTTCCTTTGGATTAAATTCATTACAATAGGCCCCATCGATGTCAGTGGGGCAAGCACATAAATGTGTGTGAATATGCAACCAATATGCCATGTCTGAAAGAGGTATTTCATAGTTTATTTATTTTCTATCTTTTTATGTGTTATAGGCACGACTAGGTGCTAGATCTGTAAATTTGATGAGGCATGTATTTCTTTCATTATTATTGGCATTGGACCCTAGCCTCTCAGTTTACCTTAAAGCAACAGCGATGGCCAATTATAACAAGTCCATGCCAAGTAATCACTCAATAAAATTTTGCTCAAGATGTGGAATGTCAGAAACCAAAGCCAGAAGTATGATTAAGCAGTTGAATTGATGGCTTTTTAATCTTTGCTATAATGGGGAGCTCACTTTACTGTTTTTTTCTAATTGTGGGAGCAATAGCCAGATTCAGTTGTAAGGAATATGTTAGATCAAGCATGTAACAATACTCTAAGTGGGCACCAATACTGAAATTTCATTCAGCCCTATTCTAGTGAAGCTTGGAAGGGTTACAGCTGCAATAAACCATAATCCAAAATCTGTGGGAACTGCTTCAAACACCATTGACATGTTGCATGAATATTTTGTTTTATTTTTTCTATCTTACTGTGATGTTCAAAAGCAGCACTATAAACACTCTTGTAACTTAAAATAGCCATTTCCTTTGTTAATCTGCTAGTTCCTCTCCATTGGTTTTATAGGATTTCAGAGTGAGTTATTTGCATTGTTAAATCTATTGTGTCTGAAATTGGAGAATGGTTTAAAAATAGCAATCCATGGTAATTATTGCTATTGTAACTGTGTTTTTAAAATTTTATTTAGGGAAATGCAGAAATTAAAAACAACAACAACTAAATCTTACTTTTTTTTTCTCCCATTCATAGATGCTTTTGTCATTGGCATGTTGGTTCTCCTAACTCACATAATTGATTAACTCCATTATTGTTGTTAGAACTTGATTCATATTTAAAATTTCCAGTGGGGATTGAGTAAGAATAACTGCCTTTACATCATGGGGAAGGGAGGATTTATAAACAAATATATAGCACCCTTGGTATTTAGGTATCAGGTTTAATCCTGGATTCTTGCCTACTTGTGTGCTTTTCCAAAGTTTAATTGTGCACGAAGTTCCTCTTTTTGGAAAGGGAGATTGGCTAATTTAATAACCAAATATCGACCCAGGCTCGTCCAGGAAGAACTATTCAGAACAACACCAAGGTGACAATCCATAGCTGGGGAGTAACATGTATAAAGCTTATGATTAAAAGCAATTCCTTGCAATGGCACATCAGTGTGTGTTCAGAGTTCTTTTGGGAAGACTGAGATTTGGAAAATGCAGAATATGGCCTCCAATAATTTAATTCTGTTTTTAGGTATCCTGTAAGCTACTTCAAGTGCTAAGTAGAAAAGAGAGATAAAATTGTTTATATAAATCAAATGCAAAGTCTTTCATTTAATAAAAGAAAGAAAAGCGAAGATGGGGCAAGCTTCTAGTTTTCATACATTGTAGGACTGTGGAAGAAAGTTACAGGAAATAGAAAATGTTTCTCCCTCTATATCATATTTCTTTGTTTATTTTACTTCTAATGTGCCCAGGAGCCAAAGTTAGTGGGGCCCAGATATTTATTTACATTTGTTCTCATTTTGGGAATTCTCTTCCCCCTCTACTCGAAAATAATTTCAACCCATCAGTTTTGGAGTATGAAGAGAGAGAAAACAGGATATATGAATAGCTTACACTTCCTATCTTTTGTGCTGCTTAAGTGTGATGTCCTTTTGTTCAAGAGAAGTATTCAAGCTGCCCTTACATTATTTATTTGTGCATTTATTTCTGATGCAAAGATTATATTTTCAGATATCACAAGCAGAGCAGGCCATGCAAATATCTAAACTTATTTCCAAAAGTCCTCACTCTTGTGACAGCCCAACCTGAGCTTTTCCACAGTAGATCTGTGTGGGTGATGTTCATCTGTAGCTGAAGATTTGTCTATCTTACTTTGTTTAAACTGTCATGAGGTACTGTTTACAGTTAATCTTTGGCTCATTGGTTTGTCTGTAGAGCTTAAATCTGCTTTAGCATCACAGAGATAAGATGAAAGGTACCCTAGAGATTGTTGCAGCCATATGCTAGGCCTACATTGGATGGAAGGCTAGAGAATAAAGTTAGAAGACCTTCAGCTCGTTTTCAATACCATCTGCTGGGTACAATTAACTTTGAGCAGTTACTTCTTTTTCTAAGGAATTATACTCCATAATCCTAGTATTCTGAGTTTGTAATGAGGGATTCAGAGCAGGCTGTTATATTTCTATTCTTGCTGTGGAGTTGTTTCCTTCTTTGAAACCGGCTCTCGAGATTTTCCTTGCTCCTTCAGATCTTGTGTCTTATAAGTAGCTGCAGTAGGAAGGAATAATATCAATATATGACCCACCAGTAAAGTCTCTTGCACTGTATGTTTTAAGCCAATCAGTCATAGGATTAAAGATTTTTTTATAAAACTTTATTAATTTTTGCACTGTATGTTTTAAGCCAATCAGTCATAGGATTAAAGATTTTTTTATAAAACTTTATTAATTTTTGCACTGTATGTTTTAAGCCAATCAGTCATAGGATTAAAGATTTTTTTATAAAACTTTATTAATTTTCAATAAAGAGTAAAATATAAGAAAACAGAAAAAAACAGAAAAAAAAAGTTCAGGAAAAAAAAAAAGATTAAAAGTGCAAAGAAAAAAGAAAAGAAAAAAAGATGACTTCCGGCTTTATCTGTTACAGGTACAAGTATAGAATACATACATCTTTTACTCTAAGAATATAACTAATACAAAGCACTTCTCTAATCTTAAACTCTATTAATTGTCTGACCCCCAAATCAGCATGCCATTTTTGCAATACCAAGCAAAACAGAAAAACAAAAGCGATTTCCAAACAGAAACAAGGATAACCCTCCCCTTTTTAGTCGCAATATAGTCTATTTCACCTTCCCCACTACTTCCATTATTGTTATCTTCCTTTCTTCAATCATGAATATCTCTGTGTTTTACCATCTGTGTGCATATAAAAATCCCAATACTATTATCATATACCATCATCCCTTCCCCGAGATAGGAAAACACTTCCATATTGCTCATATTTCCCACACACGCTAATATTCCCTTATTTAGTCCTAATGACATCCTCATTCAGTCCTAATCAACAAGAAACCCCTCTAATAACTATCAAGATTCACAACCTATACTCATTTTTTCTGATA